ATTTGTGAACATGTCACATGGCCTGCCAAACCACAGAACTAAGACCAAACTGCAGGGGTTACTAGAATCAAGCTGCAATAGCCCATTAATACAAGATTCACATTTCCAGCGATTTTATTTGTCCTTCTGAAATTTGACTATTACAAGTATGCAGTGTTTAATGTCTTTGAAAATCTCCTTCTCCGTGTACTGGCGCCTCCAAACATTTTGAATGGAAAGTCCGAGAAATGGCATTCACCATCGCCATCCTGCAAGCTAATGCACATAAAATGTGCTTAACAGTTCTAAATATAAAACTATTAAACACAACAATGTGGTCTAAAGTTCCAGCAGAACCCTCTCTTAGTCTACTGTAGCCTGTTCACCACATAACACAGATTGGACAGCACATTACAAGAGGCAGGAGTTTCACCCAGAAGGTTAAATAGCTGTTAAACATGGCCTTATGGGAATATACAGCACGAGAATTAAAGTGCATGTAAACCCTGACAAATTTATTTTATGTGCTCCCTTTCTGCCTTTTTAAAGCGGACCTTGACCCAAAAGAGGAAGTTTCACTCTTCCTCCTTCTCCTACCCCCTCCACCTCCTCTGCTGCATTTGGATTGTATTTTCTTTGGGGGGACGCGGGTAGCCAGTTTTGACAGGTACTAGCAACCACTTCCTCAGCAATCCAAGCGGAAGTTCTCCTCCCCCACCCATGGCTGGCTTTAGAAGAAGAATACATTTGTGCTAGACCAACATGTATTTTTCAGTACTTGTAAGGTATTTAATCACTAGCCATCCATTCACTGTATATAAATGGTAGACACTTCAAGTGGTTAAAAGGCCTGGTAATAATTTCTTTAGAGCCTGCAACAAGCTTTTCAGTAATAATGATCCAGGCAGCTGTAGAGTCCAAGAACGCCACAATAATTCTAGGGTCATCAGTCACTGTTAAAACATCGCTTAAGGACATTTTTTGGTACTGTAGTATGCATGTAATTTTAAGCTTTGACATGTTTGATATCCATTAACTCAAGGAAACTCCATCCTTTATATTTTAATAAAAATTGGATATTATATTGTGTTTGTGTTTAAAGTAACTTTAGTGTATTTTCTACTGAAAATGGATAAACAGTTGGGAAATATTGTGACATAATAGATTGCAACAACCACCATTTTATTCTACAGGGCTTCTGCTTCAGAATATATATATATAATTATTTAACGGTTTTAGGTAATTATCTAGCAGGTTTTCACATGTGTGTGAAAAATTTTAAATTTGCCCCAGGATTCAAAATGATTAAAGAGACAAAAACATGGAGACATGTGCTGCATTGACTTTTTTTTCCTGACATACACATTAAGAAAAATGCTGTCTGCACCACTATAAAGCCACATTTGAAAGCTTGTAAACCTCATGTTTTTTACCCCCTTTTTGACTGCTGAACACATGTGCGGCAGCAAAAGGGTGGGATTTAATGCCCACATGACATGACGCACAAGTGTTTCTGGGCAGCCGCTGTTTATTTGCTGAGAGTGCCCTCACTGCAGAACCTCAGCACAAAAACCAAAAGCGGTAGCAGACAGCTCTCAGTTCCAGGCTACAGTGACCGGCTTCTGATCATGTGACCACTGACCATAATGGTCACATAACTGACAATCTCTCTCGCCTCACTGAGCATTCTGAACTATTTCTAATGACTCCAAGGTGAGCGGGAAGGGATTAATATCTAAACTGTATTTTTTACATTTTGCAATCCAACAAAACAAAGTCCAGGGTACTCAGGGCATATCACTCTTCTCTATTTAGTCATATTCCAAATGTTTAAAAAAAAAAAAAAAAATTTAAGTAAAATACATCCAGCCGAGAAATGTTTTCTGTGCACAGCACTCGCTTTCTCAGATCTCTCCTCAGTCCTGAAAAAGTGTGCACTTTGCATGAGAAATGTTCACTGGCTGAATCTGTTTTGTTTTTTAGTCTTCAGAATTTATGACCAAATAAAGAGGAGTGATATGCTGTGAGTATCCTGTTTTCTTGGATAATTGTATTTGGCTACTGACTTACTAGAAGCTTCAAGACCTGACACACACAATTTTTTTTTTTTCAAATTAGCTGTAAAAAACTTACTCCAGAGAGCATAATAAAATTGCTCTTGCAGTGGGGTCTCCCCTCACCGCAAAGGTGAAATTCTTTTTAAGTCTAGGTGTAGAGGGAAAAGCTTTAATACTTAAGAAAAAATTCACCTTTTAACAGAAAATAACAAATGCACTTTTTTGCAGGTAAAACAAAATGTGCATTTGTTATTTTTTGTTTGTGGTGCCTCTAAAGCATTGCACCAGCGATCAGCAGAACGCTGGTCCCATGTAGGTCTCCCCCGTATGAGGAAGCAGATACTACTGACAGGAAGGCTCAATTAACTACTATGGCACTACACAGCACCATGGTAGTTCAATGAAAACTACAAGCCGACAGCCGCAAAGGTTGCCAGGACTTCTAGCTTTCCCATTCACAGAATGCTGTGAATGATGTGGCAGGGCGGGTGGAGCCCTGCACAGCCACATTTTTGTAAAATTGTGACAGCTAGCAGGGAGGAGAAGATCCCCCACTAGCTGTCACAGGGGGGATGCAGGGGGTGGTCAGATTGTAACATGTTACACCCGAATATGGGTGTAACAAGTTACGAAAGGTGAACCTTTCTTAAGTTATGCCTCACTCCAACAGGCTTCCAACACTGCAACCAGACACCAGAAGTCTCTTCTCCTTTGCATTCCGACTGGGGATTGCACATTGATGTCATCAGGTTCAACGCAGGGCAAATAACTGTTCATTGTACACAAGGATAGTGAGGTCCTGTGTACAACCTAGAGCGTCTGAGAAAAGAGTGATGGCGGTTTATGAGCATTTACCTCACTATGAAGATTTTTCTTTTTTTTTTTTGCAAAGAGATAAGGAGATGTAAAACTTAAATGAATGACATTTAGTTTGTTAAAGTGGTTGTAAACCTCAGAAATGAAATATGAACAAAGCATATCACTCTATAGTGCATACTCAGCTCAATTAGAAGCACCAAGTGTCAATTCTGTCTACTGCTTCGTTCCACTGCAATCAGGAGTCACTTCTGGCAAGTTGTCCCTGTATGAAGAGGGGTGTGTCCTTCCCTTCAATCAGCTCACCTCACTGAGCTCTGCAAAGAGTAACTTCAGCACTCTGCCTGTTTTCTGAATCCTCAGAGAAGCTTTATAAATTCAGAACTTTGAACGGATGAAGAGAAGAGTGCAAATAACAGGTACAACTTATGTAGGGGTACCGGTTTCATCTCTGTGTATCATCTGAGGCCAGTCACTTCACTAGGTGGTTTACAACCACTTTAACCACTTGCCCTCCTGAGGATTTACCCCTCTTCCTGACCAGGCCATTTTTTGCATTATGGCGCTGCGTTATTTTTACTGGCAATTGCGTGGTCACGCAATTTGCACCCAAATAAAATTTACGTCCTTTTTTCCACCCATGAGCTTTGGTGATTTTGATTGCCTATGCGGTTTACATTTTTTTGCCCTATAAAAAAAAAAAAAAAAGGACTGACAATTTTGAGGAAAAAAAAAAAACAATATTTTTGACTTTTTGCTATTATATTGTCATAAATTTAGGCCAAAATGTATTCTGCTACATGTCTTTGCTGGAAAAAAAAAATCCCAATACGTGTAAATTAATTGGTTTACGTAAAAGCTATAGCATTTACAAATGGTGGTATAGATATTTGAATTTTTAAAAATTATTTTACTAGTAATGGAGGCGATCAGCGACTTATAGCGTGACTGTGGCGGGCATTCTGACACTGACATCCCCAGTGACACCAATACAGTGATCAGTGTTAAAAGAAGAAAAGAGAGAAAAAAAAAAAAAGCACTGACAATGTACTAATGGCACTGGGCAGGAAAGGGCAACATGAGGCGCGATCAAAGGGTTAACTGTGTGCTGGGTGTTTTACTATGGGGCTGTGTGTTTGTGTTTCACGGTAATCACACATGCTTTGCATGGCTGTGCACAACCATCCAAAGCACTGTGCACGAGCTGACAGGGATATATATATATACATATATAGAACTGTTTTGTTTACAAACAGTTCTCCTCCCCGTTGGAGATGCTCATCAATCACCGGGCACCAGCGAGTAATCACGGCCAGGACTCACGCGTGCCCCCCTACGTTGTAATGTAAGATCACACATATATATATATATATATATATATATATATATGTGTGTGTGTGATTTTGCGCACCCGTACCGCCCAGTAGCATTATATCTGCTATAGGGTGGTTGGGAAGGGGTTAAAACACTTTCCCAAACAACTGACATTTTTAAATACAAATATAAATACAAATATGTTTCACGTTTTTTATCATCCATTGATGCTGACCTTCTGCAGCCGCCTCTTGTCTAAATGCACTGCAGTGATGGCTGCATGGCATTTTTTTAGGTTGCATTTCCTGATGTTGGCAATGGCACATTTAGACTCTATGAGAACATGTGTGCCATAGTAGCAATGAAGGAATACAGTTAGAAGACAGGGACAAAGCATTGTCAGTCATCCTAAAAAAAGGAAGCAGCCGAACCAGGACCTGAATAGCAGAGTCACCAGAACTTTTAATGTAAGCTGCAAATTTAAAATATTAGGAATGATTAATGAAATTATATAAACATGTAAAAGCTTATATGAAATTTTAGTGTTTACATATAAAGTAAAATGAGTTTTTTTGTGGCACTGATCAAAGGAACATCAGTTTGGTCCCTATCAAGCATACAGGAAGAAAACGGATTTACTTTACTTGTACACACAGGTGCTCTTAATGTTATTGTTCAAGTATTTGACATACACACATTTTTGAGTCCTAGCCATAGACATTTCTATCTTAATGATTAAAATGCATATAAAAAGCTTTAAACATGCTGTTTGACTGCAAATTACCAATTATGGCAACAATAACAGACTGCTTACCTTTCTTCTTTGTCCAAGGTTTTTTTTTCAGTAGGGCTAGACTTCTTGGGTGGAACAGGGGGTGCAGCCTTCCGGCAAATCTCATCAATGCTGAGTTTGTTTAAATGGCTCTGAATTGCTGCTTTCAATAAAATTCGTTCTACAGCAGTCACCCCATCTCCATGTACATACTTGGAAAGATCTGCCTGAGCAAGGCATTCTGAATCCATAACCCAGGGAGGGCAGTAAGAGTCCGTCTTACCAGACAGTTTCTGGTGAAGCTTAATAAGCAGAGACAAAACACTTTCTTTCACCTCTAAAATCACTGTAGTTAACTGAGGCGTGGAACCAGGTGCTGTCCATTTTAGTGCAGATGACTTTGGGCGAACAACTTGATTGGCCTCATTGTTGCTGCGATTTATTATTTCCTGAAACTTTTTCCGCCGTTCAGCAACCAAGCTGAAAACTTGAGCCGTTCCTGAATTCTGAAGGAGAGAAAAGAGTAAGGGCTTGTTTAGGTGGGCATTGATGTCAAACACTAGCTTTTGCATTTGAACAACACGTTGCTCAAACGCATGCATTTAAAAGGCTTCATTCTATCTGCTTTACTTGCAATTCAAATATATCTCTTCTGGAACTGCTACATCCACAGGAATGCAACACAAAACTGATCAAACATCAAAACTGGTAACCACACTAAACCATAGAAGTAAAGGGGAATCTGCTGATCTGTTTTTGATGTGCATTTGCAACACAGCAAAACAACACCAATCTATATGATCCTTAAGGTATTTTAAAAGTTGACCTTTTTTCCTGAAGACTTAGAAAACCCAGGTGCATGCCAATCCAACAATATCTTTAAGTCCCCCTGGGAAGGCTACATGACCAGTACCTTCCAGGGAGATCTCATTTGTAAATCATAGGATCTCTGGGATATAGAATTTCTTTTATTTTTCAACAAACAAGATGTGTCAAGATAACACAGAGTGCATATGTAAGATTAAGCACAGATGCCATTAGTTGACAGGCACAGAATAAAGACAATGAAGCAGTCAATGATGTTCTTTTTAAAACAGCAGCGTGGGTTTTCAATCTGGGGAAAAGGGGTGGGGAGCAGAACACTGGCACTAAAACAATAAGAAAGAAAGGGGTAAGGAACTGTAACTATTAGTTTTCAAACTAAGATTGCATGGGTGTTATCGGTTATTGAGGAGGTGGTGGAAAGGGTCTACTTTAATACAACGAAAAAAAAATATACTAGAAATAAAAAAATGACTACTTAGTCTAGCAAATACTATATGTTAGGATTTGAAAGTCAGTAGTCAGGCATTATTCATGGTATCACTCTACATTACCTTGTACACATGAAAATATTAAGTAGATGTCACAGCTGTTTTCCCCCATCTGTAGAAATCATTGCCGCTAATCAACATGCATTACCTTTTACATAACTGCTAGGTAGCCAGCATTCTTGATATCTGATAAATATTTGGTTTCCTGACCTTATAGAAAGAATTTTTTTTTTTTTTAGAAAAAAAACGGTCACCGAACCAGGGGCGGACTGACAACTCATGGGGCCCCTGGGCAATAGGGGATCATGGGGCCCCTGTGTCCTTGCCCACACTCAAGGCACACCCAAAAAAAGCCTATAAAAAAGGTACCAGGGGCATTTCATGGGGCCCCCTACTGACCTTGGGCCCTCGGGCAGTGCCAGAGAGCTTGAATGGTCAGCTCGCCACTGCACCGAACACAAAACTATGGTCCCCAAAGCACAATAGTAGTATGAATTGAGAAAAGAAAGGGGTGTAGCGCCTTAACTTTGCACTTACATTTAATAGATACAGCATATATCGCCTTTCTCATATACAGAGAACCTTCAGCACTTCCCCAAGAAGGCTGTGCACTCCAAACAGCAGAAGTGACAGCGCAGACGTGAAGCCTATTCCAACGCGTTTCACCTTCACTGGATGTCATCAGATTTTGCCTAACTGTGCCCAGCAAAGACAAAATGCGTTGAATGGGGCTTCACATCCACTTCCGCTGTTTGGAGTGCACAGCCATCTCGGGGTAGTGCTGAAGGTGCTCTATGTATATGAAAAAGGTGATCTATGCTGTATCTAGTGAATGTAAGTGAAAAATTGTTGTTTCTGGCTGATAAAGTGGTATTACACTGTGGGTGTATATAATGCTTGTTCTATGGGGGCAGAGCTGGTCTGAAGGAGCTTTATAATCGGAGGAGGAGAGAGAGAAGAAAATATCATCATCTGGAGTTGAAATAACAAAAGAGCATTGAGACGTTAATTTAAGGGGGTCACATACTCTGGTGAGTGCGTTTTAACAAGGGGAAGTGTGGAAAGGCCCGTACGAGCAAGGTACACTCTATATGGAGTGGAGCACTATCTATTGGCAATAGAGTGACAGTCTGCACTAAACTGTTTCACATGAAGGTTGATTGGACTATATAAACTGGTTTCAGCACCAAAATCTCTCTCTCTCTCTCTCTCTCTCTCTCTCTCTCTCTCTCTCTCTCTCTCTATATATATATATATATATATATATATATAAAACTTTATTACAGCACTAATAGATATGTCTAATTATTGCACACACAGTATATATCACAATGTTCTGGTATTAATGGTAATATATTTATGATTTGCAGACTTTTTTCATAATAGTTGGCTATTAGGAAGATTTTATCTAAACTTTAAGGTCTTAGAACGGTGCATTGTCGCATCACAATATGAAAACAGCCATTTTGCCACTAGACAGAGTGTACACTTTAGGCAGGACCCTACAGTGACATCAGGGCCTCACTATCACTTGCTTTGCTCACAGAACTGAATAAAGTTCTTCCCTGTATTTTGCCTACTGAGTATTTTGGAGAGCACATCTCCTCTCAATGTCATGGGACTACATTACATGTTACTAATTGAGTTTTCTGCACTACTCTCCTTCTCCAAGGCTAAATTTTAAAATGGGAAGCATGGTAACCATGTTATTTGAAGTGATTTTAGGAGTTGATTTATGTAACTCACAATCTGTTTTTAATAGCAAATGATTTCAATATGTATGTACCCAGGGCTTCTCATCTATGCAATGTTAAACAAGCAACATTTTTTAATATAAAGCTCTAAAAATGTATAAAGTGTGCAGAAAGTTAACTAATTTGTACACTAACCAGCTTAAGGGTCAATCCATTTAATAAAGCAATTATATAGTAAGCATTTTACTAACAGTCCAGTAACTTTGGAACTGGCTGTCAACTCTGCCTTCAGTAATATCAGCTGAAATAGCTCATCACAAAACAGAACTGGTCAGAAAACGAAGGAATAAGCTTTCAAAACACATGTAACCCGTGTAAAGCGACTGTTTGCTGGGAGCAAGATTTAGAGTAACATCTCCCTATAACTCTAAACAGAATACTATGAACTAAAGAATGAAAAACAGGGCATGCTACATGTTGCTGTCAACTTTCATACAGTGTGCTGTGAAAAGTACTTATTTCATTCTGTACTGTGCTCATCAAAATGCAATGCACAACACATGTAACCCGTGTAATCCAAACACCTGTAGATTGAAGGCCTCAGGTTCCAGCAAAATTATCTCATTACTCGGTTTTCCTTTGACAACCAATTTCCTTTACAGTGAGTCCTATACAAATAAGTTTGGATGTATTTATAGGCCAAAATGGAAACAGTGGGGTTGATTTACTAAAATTGGAGAGTGCAAAATCTAGTGCAGGTGTGCATGGTAGCCAATCAGCTTCTGACTTCAGCTTGTTCAATTAAGCTTTGACAAAAAAAAACATGAAAGCCGATTGGTTTCTATGCAGAGCTGCAGATTTTGGACTCTCCAGTTTTAGTAAATCAATCCCAAAACCCTTTACTGAATTCTTAGTACAAACAACTTCTCGATCACCATTTCAGAGCACTGCTACAAGGGCAGAAAAGGTCATCAATAACTCTAGTATATATATTGCATAAAGATTGGCAATTATGCTTAAGTGATGCAGAATTGAACAAATGTGGCATTAATGATTACACTTCATTTACATAGAAAGCCACGCACACAGCAAGTGCTGGATGATTTATAGCCAATACAGATGCAGTCCCGTACAATGCCATTCATCCAAATTAATTTACTTTGCCTAAAATAAAGTCCATAGAGCTCTCAGTGAGTTCTGAAATGCTCAAGCAGAATAATTTCTGAAGCTGGGTTCCATTCTCCTGAAGCCTATTTTCTATAAATGAATTGTACCTTCCAGGATTACAGGTGGCTTAGGCACCTGTCAGATGTCAAGTATGGAGGTTTGGTTATTACACTAGTGTACAAAGAACATGGCGAATGAGCCATATCTGTCTGACAGCTGTAAGTAATAACATGGCAGAAGTAATTGTTTGTAGATATTTAAAAGCTTAAAAGTGTATCTAAAATTAAATTAGTTCTAAAGTCATCACATTTGTTTACCTTAATGTATTCCCTGCATTAAAGTAAAAAAAAATGTCCCAGTAGCAGTATCACCCCTTCAGCCCCTAAATATTTCTGTATACCCAAGTCCTCACTCGATCCATTGTTGATGCCCATCTGTAGCAGCCGTCTCCTCTCTCTGACAGGACAGAGAGGCAGCAGAGGAAGCCACTGGTTTGGGGGCAATACCATTGCAAAGAGCAGGTAAATATAATGTTTGTTACTTTAGTTAGAACATTTATCCTTTACAACCTCTTTAAAACTCTTTTTTGCTGACAGGTATTTAATGCAGTTTGTGTCAAATGACCCAGAACCAAAATGAACAACAGAAAAGTAAGCGGTTAAGCAAGACCTCCTTATCTGCACACTTGGGTCAGTCACCCAAACATTTTGATGCCAGAAAGCAGGGGCAAGCAACTGCCATTTTCAGAGAAGTAGAAAAAGCAATGGCAGCCTGCAAGCTACACTCATGACTGGTTTCCTTTACGCCTCATGCACATAGGATGTTAAAAAAAAAAAAAATTTCTCCTAGAAGCTGTCCTCCTTGCAGCAGTGTTTTGGTTTTTTTTTTTCTTTTGCAAAAAACCGCCTTACACTTGTAAAACTATCTAACGCTTTTACAAGTGTTTAGGCATGTTAATTCATTTCATTGGCCAGAATTATAATTTATTCTGTCCATTCAAATGAATTAATGCTCAAGCGTTAAACATGCCTAGCGTTTAGGCGTGTTTAGCGGCGTCAAGCGGTTTTTCTGCCAATACACTGCTGCTCCTGGACGCACTGACCCTGGGGTTTTTTTCCCTGCTGGTAAACGCTACGGTTACTAAAAGTTTATGTGTGCATGGACACACAGGCTAACATGAAGGACTGTTTGGAAGCAGTAAAAGAAAGAAAAAAAAAAAAACTGATGCCCCTAAAAAGTGGCTGCAAAAACGCCCTGTGTGCATGAGGCCTTAAAGAATAGGCAAAGTGTGCTGCATAGGTGTGTCAAAGTGATATCAGAGTCATCATGATATTAAAGCAGTTTTAAAATGCAAAATTAAAAATGTAATATATTGCAGCTTACCAATCAATACAGTAGATGTGGTGTCTGCATTTGTTTTCCTTTAGGAATTTCCCCATTTTCACCCTATAGTCTGACCATTAACACATCTCCTACACTCAGAGAAAAAGCAACAGAGCCACATTTGGGCAGTCAGGGGGGACAGTGTTAGATGTACTAGCAGATTTAGATACACTGAAACTGAACTCCAGCTAGCACTTCATAAGCAGTTACAGCAAACAGTTTTTTTTCTTCCTTTAAGGATAAAGGTTTTAAATAAACAAAAGTTGACCATTGTAAGCACCCCTGGTCAGTGGTAAATGGTTTGTCTCAACCCCCTAACTGCTACATCTGCAGGACAGCTTGTTCTGTTGAAATACAACAGATTTACTGGCAGGATCACCAGGTGAAAATAAAAAGAAAAGAAAAAAAAAAAAAAAAAAAGAATGCAGCCATCACATCAGAATCAGTAAACTGCAATTTAAAGTGGTTCTAAAGGCTCAAAGTTTTTTACCTTCATGCTTTCTATGCATGAAGGTAAAAAAAAAAAAAAAAAACCTTCTGTGTGCCGCATCCCCCCCCAAATACTTACCTAAGCCCCCTCTCAATCCAGCGATGTGCACTGGAGTCTTGGCTATCCCGGGACTCCCTCTTCTCATTGGCTGAGACAGAAGCAGGAGCAATTGACTCCCACTGCTGTCAATCACAGCCAGTGAGCCAATAAAAAGAGAGGGAGCAGAGTCGCACCGTGTGTGAATGGACACATGGAGCAGCAGGTTCCCCCATAGCAAGCTGCTTGCTGTAGGGGTACCTGACAGGAGGGAGAGGCCAGGAGAGCCTGCGAGGAGGAGCCCGAGAAGAGGAGGATCTGGACTGCTCTGTGCAAAAGCACTGCGCACAGCAGGCAAGTATAGGCATGTTTGTTATTTTTTATTTAAAAAAGAATAAGCCTTTAGAATCACTTTAGTATGTTTATTTTTGTGTTGAAAACCACTTTAAGTTACATTGACACCATTAGCTTATGCGGCTATAATATTTAGGAGTGCTGGATATCTATAAAGTCTGACCATGATGCTCAAATGAAATAAAGCATGTCATAAGATCCCAGAATCTAATGCATATGCAGTGAAAAGATTTTTATGTTCTGAGGAAAAATAATGACTTTAGTGCAGATTACATCAATATTCATAAACCAGGAGAAGGCATTATTCATCATATTGAGTTAGTAGCACTAAACACCATCAATACTACCAAACATGATCAAATGCTATTTTGAGATACAGTAAGTCCATATCATAAGTGAGATGCAAGATTAACTGCATTCAAAAATACATTGGTTTTACTGCCCATTTACACTGTTGGGGTCTGCTAAAAGTATATTGATGCAATGCACTGCCATTCATTTTTAATGGCATTCCAAAGCACCTTGCTAAAGCAAGTTACAGCACACTGCAATGTAACACACTATACTGCATTAAATGAATGGACTGCTTTAATTCAACACGTTAATGTAACATACCAGACCATGACACTGTGAATGGGCCCTAATTTTATCTTAGCAAATCAAACACATTTGAAGCTTTCATTTTCGTTCTTGTATTTTGAGAACTGTTCTGGGATCATCAAGGATTCGGCAGTTCCTTCAAATTGTTCCAAAAAGTGTTATATGGAAAAAACATTAATCGGTATTCTTTTAGATGTGCATGCTCCTGGGGCCTGCTCATGGCTGACTGGTAAGGATCAGCAGGTATCATGCACATTTAAAGAGTTTCTAAAGCCAAAACTTTTTTTGTGGATAAAGTAGGCAAGTGGTAGAAGTAGGGAAGTCTATTCTCTTTGTTTTTGTGATGACTGTGACCAGAAAAGAAAAGAAAGATGGTTAGGGAAGGGAACTTTCCCCAGCAGGTCACAGATGGCAAGAAAATTCTGCCACATGATTCACCCACTCCCTACTCTATCCAGAAAACAGTTGTGTCTTTAGTTATACTTTAACAGGATGTTTTCTTCTATAAAAGACACAGCAATCACTCACTTTTCCTGTCCTTTTTAGCAATATTTTTAATAATATAATATTTAACAAAATGGCTACTGGTTACTAACTTAGTAACATAACTTTGAACCATGTACTACACCAGATCCAGACAATAAAATAAAAACAAAAACGTACGTGAGACGAGGGAGAGTGTCCATCTGAGCTAGTGCTTGCTGGAGGGTCTCTCCGTACCTCTGGAGCAGTGTCTGGTACTTTCACCCGTACATAATTTATCACATGGCGCATATTGCACAGTAAATTGCTGCCTGGAAACCAGCTGTCATGGCAGTGATCTGGCCCGGCAGTATCCTGAGAACACGCAATTAAGGAGAAAGAAAAAAAGATCATTATCCATCTTTTGCTTATTACCATTTCAATAACTGGTAGGAGAAAGTCATACTGCCAGTGGACAGAGGTACCACACTGGAAAGTAGCTAGAAGTAATACCACCAGTGCTGGATTTCAGAAATATATGCCTCTGCTGTTTTTCACAAAACACAGATCTCCAAGATCTAGTAGTTCTACACCACATATTAGGAGCATTCAGCTTGGAAAATGTTAAAGTACTGTATATTTATGCCCACTCAGGGAAAGTTGCAATGTCTTCTGATAACTGCACATGACCCCCTCTTCTCAGCAAAGTATGCTTGCTGATCCAAGTTCCTTCTCTCTATTGCTAGAATAGAACCACAGTAACAAGTTTTATAGGAGGAGCAGTGTGGTGTGTGTTAAAGAGACTCCAGTCAATTTTTTTTTTTTTTTTTTTAATACTTTGGACACAACGGGGAAGGGGTAAGAACCTTATTTGGATTGGTTACCATCTTCCTGCCCCACATTATGGAGGCTCTCTTGTTTCTAGTAAGGACAAAAAATAATGGAAACAGGGTAGATACAAACACACACATTTTTAGTAGGCATGTGTGAGTATTTGCATGTGAAAGGGATAGATTAGAACATCTGACAATTGTTTTGGCTCATTGGGTTTCTGTCCCAGAGATAAGGAACAGGAAGTGAAGGAAAATCTCACTGGGGTCACAGATAGAAAGCAAAATTAATAGCAGGAAATGTAACTCTTCCTTCTCTTTCTAATACAAAGCAAAATGTCTGAAGTTCAGCTTTAATGCAATGTAGCACTTTCACAATGTAAACATTCCATGTTGTGCATTTCCTCCTGCAAGCTATAATGTCGATTGTGTGTCAAGAAATTCTACTATAGATGTCTCCCGAGAAATTACGGATATAATAGAACATCAACAGAGAGCTGCTTGAGAGCGAAGCCCCAGAAACAGGACACTTACATCAGTGGATCACAGGATCAGGACAAGAGTCACATTTCTGACTCCCCTCTAAAATAACATAGCTTGATGTCCTGTAATATCTGCCTAAAGACAGAGGGAGGATATAAACGATGAAAGGAGGGAGGAAGAGAAATCATAAGTGCAGAGGGGTGGCAAGACAGAAAACATTAAAACATACAACAAAGCCGTGCTATTATACAGCAAAAAGACATTAGGAAACAAATTAAATCAATTTTAAAAAAATAACGAATACCTGGTCAGCAGGCTCTTCCTGAGAGTTCTCTAGCCCCAGCTCTATCAAATATAGAACCATGCAGAGGACATGTTCTGACATATTCTGATGATCCATCAAAATCTAAAAATAAACAGCAGAATAAAATGTCTGGTCTATTCTTCACACAATGCACAGGACGTTGGTGGTTATACAGATTTCCAGCTGCAGAAAGTTGCAATGGCCCAGCTAACACTTGGTTTTACCTCTGACTGCACATGGTTATATCTACCTCCATGACCCAGAGGTGGCATTCACTGCACAAGTTCAAAATAAGACATCTATCACATTCAGCTAAGCAATGGGTATACAGTCATTATGTCAATACATTCAAAAGACATTTTGTACAAGGTTTACAAGTACTGTCCACCAAAGAAATTACAAAAATAAACAATGAGGCTTTAAAAAAAAAAAAAAAAAAAAAAAAAAAAAGGTAACCTACTGGTAAATGCATGATTTTTGATGTAATGCATTTATTTTTTAATGGGGTCACCCTTTTAACCCAAAAAATATAAGCCTAAAAAAAAAACAAGGTCGATGCACTCGAATTATCATCGATATAAGAGTAAACTATGAATGTTCCATAATTACAAAGCACACTGCCCTTCATGAACATTTTTTCAGCTAAGTATCTTATCTGAGAGCTGTGTCAGTTTTATTCTACTTTTGTAAGAAAAGTTAAAATGTTAAACCGAGGGATTTATTATATGGAGAGTTTAAAGATCTTTTATCAGTTTTGCCAAAATCTGAACCCTGGTGTTCACACAATTTTCTCAGCATTCTCATTAAGGGTGCCTAAACAAGAGCACAAAGCTCTGTGTCCTTAAATGTGATGGTTCTCATCACCTGTCAATAGACCCCCAGTGGTCATATTTCCAATGAGCAGAGGTTGTGGCATTAAGGCTATGTTCACCTTGTAACGTATCACACTCATATTTAGGGTGTAAAATTTTCCAGCTTGTGCCCCGCTCACCCTTCCCCTGTGACAGCTGGCGTTCATTGTTATATTTCAAAATTAGCACAGCTGTGCAGGGATCTGCCTACACACTCACTTCATTCATTCACAGGAGTCTGTGAATGAAGAAGCTACAAGTCCCATCTGCCACCATGGCAGACAGCTTGCAGTTCTCTATAAGAGTGCTGGGGAGTGCCCTTGTAGTTCATTGACACTTCCTCTAGCTTTCTCACAGAGTCTGTACAGAGGTACAATTAAGAAAGCTGGAGGAGGTTTCTGCAGGAGCCTGACATTGCACATGCAATCCACTGATCATGGGTGCAATACTCTGCAGGCTCTTGGGGAAATCATATTAAATGCACAATTTTCTGCAAAACTATGTGCATCTATAAATATTTCCTAAAATGTGAACTTATCCTTAAAAAAACTAGAGTTGAGTGGAGCACATTCTCTTTGTAATGTGAATGTTCCCTTAGCTTGGTGAATAAAGTGAAGCTAAGGGTATTCTGTAAATACCCAAACACGTGCAAGGAAAATCAATTAAAAATATTTTTGCTCACTGTGTGGACTATGATTTATTAAAATGAAAAGGCACTTTGCAACATGAACATACACCACTAAGATGCCCAGATATCGTGGACACAAAATTCAGAGCTTTGTCCTTAACATGCAAGTCTGTTTGAAAAATGTCATGTGTGAGATCCTCTGATGACAGAGGTTGCTGACAAAAAAAAAAAATGATGACTTACATAGCTGACAGATGTTAGTAGGCACGTCTTGCCAGCCACAAATGTGTAATAGGGAGATAGTACATTTACATAAATATATTATTTACATCATGGCCACATACTTTTGTACCGAATAACAATTAACCTCTTAAGTTTTTTTTTTGCTTTTTTTTTATTGTATAGCAGAGATAATAAACATATTTTGTATAAGATTATGTGCTAGTCTGTTAGGAGTACACTGAACAGCCTGGAAATGGATCATGCATATTTTAGAGCAGGTATTCTCATTCAAACATTCTCAAACAAGGGCCTAGCCTGACCAAACTTTTGTGAGCCATGGCCCTACATTATGATAAATGTTACCCCTAGCACTAAATATATTGCTCATTTTGATTGCAAATTGAGTGCTAAACATTAAAAGCAAAAACAGCAGATGAATGGCAGAGCTGAAAGTAAATTCATATCAAAATGATCATCTGTAATAATTCAGCAGCAATGAAAAACTAGCAAAATAAAAAGGCAGTGCAGCTTGACAACTCATTAAAGTAGATCTAAATGCTAACTGGAAGATATTTAGTTTGCTAAAGCGCTGCATATCTACAAGGTGGTATCAAAACGTTTTGAGACTAGCTCTGTTTAAACGAAAGTTCTTTGTTTGCACAAAATAGTCCCCTTGCACAGCTATACAGCACTGCAAGCATTCCTGTCACTTCTGGAATATGTCCTAAAAGTCTTCTTGTTGAAGCGTGTCAAGCACCTACTGCTATTGGCGCTGGATCTCCGCAATGGTGTCAAAAAGGTGACCTTTGAACTGGATCTTCATCTTCCGTAGGAAGGCGAAGTTGGCAGGAGCCAAATCTGGCGAGTAGGGTGGGTGTGGAAGTGAGATCATTGCAGCCTGGGGACAAATTGGCAGCAACATGGTGCATGTTCAAATCACACATGGGGATTGCATGGACTGTTCCGTAGGACACACCGACAATAGTAACAATGTTGAAGCACTCAAAGCATGTGTGCCACTCAAGAGCCCTCAAACGACTCATTGCAGCCTTGCCGTAAACTTGTCAAATCATGTCAACCGTCTTTGTGGCAGATTCATCCACTTTCACGCAGAATTTCACGTTTGCCTTTTGTTTTAACTTGCTGTACATGATGAAATAGCAGAAGTGGTAACGCACGTGGCCAGAATAGCACCAGTGAAACATGCCCTTCTCATGTCTGTACCCTACTCTAGGGGTGCATGTGACAAGGTGCCAACACAGGAACACAACTGGAAGACAGTTATAACAGAAGTGCCTGAAGAAGCACCTTTATGCCAAGATAAACAGGTTTTAAAGAAAGCTACAGATTAATGTGAAGTAACAAAATGCACTCATGTCCAGAAAGCACAAGACAAAAAAAGATCCAAAGCACACCCCTGAGCACCAGTCTTCCCTAGCAGGAAATATTTGGGAACGGACACCATTCCCGCACCACTGTAATATTAGCATACCTCCAGGTTGGAGAATAGCAGTTTTAAGTTGGGTATACATGCATCGAAATTTGGCACAACAGGAACCAGCTAATTTTCAATGTGTGTGCATCCCTCTCCATTCAACAGAAGCCAGCCTAACAACTGGCTTCTGTTGAATGATCCTGTTGGAAAACCAGCATTCTATCTGCCACTGCAGCCAATGGCTGCACTGCTGATCTTTGTATTCTGACGAGGAGGCCCACTGCCAGAATACGATAGCTTAGCGGGAGAAATTCTGAATCTGAGTTTTTACCATTTAACCCACCGGTTGAACAAAAAAAAAAAAAAACTCTCAGTATATACCTAGCTTTACACCTTTTACTAGGCAGTGTTTGTCTTGAGTGCCCAAAGCTGAAATTGATGAAGACACACATACACTCTAGACGTACCTTGTACAGCAGAGTGAAGAGCACAATGTGTAAAGTTTTGCAGTGCAGGAGCCTCATAAGACCTTTGTAGCTAGGATGCAATTGGGTTCTCTTCTTGTAAGGTGGCCATGGATTTCCTGGACATCTTCCTATCTGTTTCAAACTAAACACCAAAATAAAAGCAACTGTTTACAAATATTACATGCGATGTAGGTTATATAGACTAAAGAAAAGCAATTTTATTATAATTCAAGTATTTTGTGTGACATTTCCAGTAATTATGCATTCTATGCATGAAGATACAAAAAACATTCTGTGTGCAGCAGCCCACTCCCCAGCACAAGAGCCTCCTTCTTGGCTGAGACAGCAGTGGAAGCCATTGGCTCCCGCTACTGTCAAATCACAGGCAGTGAGCCAATTAGGAAGGGGGGGCTGAGCCACACTGTGTCTGAATGGACAGGCAGAGCAGTGGCTCCAGGGTGAACCTGCTTGGGTATCTCCATAGCAAGCTAGTTGCTATGGGAGCACTAGGCAGCAGGAAGGGACCAGAGGTGCCCGCAGGGGACGCAAGAAGAGGATCGGGGCTGCTCTAGCCAGGCAAATGTAATATCACTTTAAGGTCTAAACAACAAGTCTAATTCCTGGGTGATTTTTGTAGTTCTACCAAAAAACAGTCTATGGTCAATCTGTTAAAACTACACCCTACAATCTGCTGCATTTACAGAAAAATGCGTGTTGCCTCGGTGGTCTGTCACTGATCTCCGCAACAATCAATCCGCAAATGATCAGTACAGAGTGTCTGTGAGTGACTGAATAATCATGGATAATATTTGGTCACACAACTTGCACCTAATTTAGACCTTGTCCTAACAATCTCTACCTCACACTGATAAGTTTTTAAATAAAGCAAAACAATAGTTATGTGCAGAGTGTGCTAAACTACAGTCATAAATTAGCCCAGTTCCATTTACTGAAAGGGAATTATTGAAAGATGTACTATGACTGTTATAAGCTTCTTTACTTTGCATATTGGTTTATCTTATTGAATAAAGCAGCTAAGCTACTTATACTGAGAGAAGGATAACTAAAGCAAATGTAAGGACCCCTTACAATAAAGCAACTTTCGATTCATTTTACAGCAAGCACTACAGACTCCGGCAATGTGAGTCACCAGACTTCCTTGAGCAGTTTACATTTAAAACTGTTTACGAAGATGCAGGATTTTCTGCGCTGCAGTTTTTTGGAAAGGTTTGCACATCCACATGGAAAGATCCTTCCTTGAGGAAAGGACAAGGTTACTTTAAGCCTGTTTTCAGCAGGACTTCAGGGAACTGCAGCATCCAATTAGCAAATAAATTGCTCTGGAATAAAGGTTAAGCAATATTTGCTCACGCTGGAAGGCAATGCATCATTCATTCTGACGGCTCATTCCA